CAGATCCTAAGTAAAACTTCCACAAAGTCCAACTGATTCATCTTTTAAGATTTGCCTTTTTTGGGTTTTTTGGTTTGGTTTGGTTTGGTTTTTGGTTTTTTTTCTGGTACCAGGAATTGAACTCATGACCTCACGCTTGCCAGGCAGGTGCTGTGCCGCTGAGCTAAATCCCCAGCCCCTGCCTTTTCTGTTTTGATACTAAGATGTTTATATTGGATGAAAGTAAAGTTGTTGACCTGGCATAGATCCGTGTGGGGGGGGGTCAATCCTTGTTGTAGTTTTACTTAGAATAAACCTGACCAAGAACCACTAGGCAAAGTCCCCTAAGGACTCTTTGATGTTGAACAAACAAAATGCTGAATGATTTTTCACTGTGTGTGCTTCTGTAGTTATTCTTTTTTTTTTTTTTTGCTTTTTCTCCGGTACCGGGAACTGAACTCACGACCTTGCACTTGCCAGGCAGGCGCTTTGCCGCTGAGCTAAATCCCCAGCCCCTTTGTAGTTATTCTGCCTGAGTCAGTACTCACGCCCTTGCTTTCTCACCCATTTACCAAGCTCTGCTGGAAGTGTACCAGCTCTAGAATGCAGGAGTACAGGTGAGCGACTGCAATGCCTAGGACTGTGAAGATGCTGGGGAGGTTTCCTTACAGCCAGTGTCATCTGTCAGAGGCTGCCTGATGTCCAGGAAGAGTCTTCACTTGGATTCAGATCCCAGCTCTCATTTGCTGGGTGACTTAGAGCAAGTTACTTAACTTCTCAACTTGGTTATTGTATCTGAGAGGTTAAGTTCATGATCCTTGTTTCAGAGGGCCATCATAAGGATTTAATGAGGTGATATGTATTAAGCCAGGTGACACCAAATGAGGGCACGTAGTAGGTGGCAAACCACAGCCATCGCCAGACTGATAGAATGTTCAGTATTGCTGTGTCTTCTCTGAAGGTAGAAGAGTGGCTCAGAGTAGCTCTGGGGGCTGAGCCAAAGGACTTTCTGTCTCAGCAGACATTCCTTTCTCAGCAACATGAAGCCAGCCTGTGAAAGCATGATATACAAGGGCTGCTCAAAATACATGGTTACTGTTTAAATATGAAAGTTTTACTACAAAACATGTTTCTGTTAATCCTCCTCAAAATACTCCTCTTTGCTTCAAACACAGTACTCCAATGTTCTTGCCACTTTTCTACTTTTAATCTTTTTTGGGGGCAGGGTCTTGCATGTATATAGTTCAGACTGGCCTTCACTCACTGTATCGCTGAGGCTAGCCTTGAACTCAATGCAGTCGTCCTACCTGAGCATCCTGAGTGCTGGGATTACAGGCATGCATGACTACACCTGGCTTGTTCTTGGCACTTCTGCAAGCAATACTGGAAGTCCTGTTTCCTCAGTGTCTTTACGAGGTGTGATCAGAAATACAGTGAATGCTGCTGCCAAGTCCCATTCAATGGAAAGCAGGCTTGTAGAAACATCTGTGTCCTTATCCCCTTATTCACCAGCTCTGCCACCTTCCAACTTTTGACTCTTCCCCAAAGTCAAAATGACTACGAAAGGCAAACATTTTGAATTGATACGGGGCATTGAGGCAGCTACAGTAATGCAAGTAAAGACATTCAGGAAAAAGAATGTCCAGAACTGCTTCCAGAAGTAGTAAGAACAGTGAAACACTTTGAGGGGGATCAATGGTAATGTGCCTTTTACTGTAATACATTTTTAAAATAAATATAAATGTTTAAATTTAGAAAAAGGAAAAAATTCACCATATTTTTCAGTCGCCATTCATAGATATCTCTGTTCCATAGGCCACCTCTCTAGCTCTGTGCTGTAGTACTCCTTTGGACCTACTTGGCTCTGGCTCAGAAGGAGGGTTCCTGTAGCTAAAGTTGAGGGCGCTCTGTCTGCACCCTTGCCCCACTGTCTGCTGTTTCCAGGGGCTCAGCTCTGTACCTGTGTTTTCTGAGCTGTTCTGCAGAAACACTCATAATTACCATTCCCTCTTCCCAGGCAGCAGGCAGTACCCATTTGGATCACCTCATAAGGATGCCTGCTATTCGGACACGAGAGTCATACCCTTCCTCCAGTGGCTTCTCCTGGAGGAGCTGTGTGGACTCAGTGTCCAGGGGAAGAGTGTGCCTGTCCGGAAGGAGTGGCACATTTCTGAGGGCCTGCTGTGGACTTCAGATGAGTGCCTTTCATAGCCTATCCGCTTGAAGGCTGCTCAGTCATTTCCCCTGTTTTATGGATGAGGAAGCAGAGGCCCAGGGAAGTCAGCTGCTTATCCACTACCACCTTGCTTGTGAGTACCAGAGTCTGGATTTCAGCGGAGCCCTGGGTTGCTCTTCACCACTGTACTTGGCTGTGTTGCCCAGTGGAACTGCTTGGGCCTGGGGGCCACTGTGCGGGGTTGAAGACTGTCATGGCAAGGCTGGTGACTTCCTGAAATGTTTCCTTTTGGAGTGGGCTTCTGGGTACACATTGGGATCTGAAGTGCGTTGACTCCTGGAGGACAGGAAGAGCCCCAGCCCTGGTGACTAAGGCCTAAGTGAGAAGCCGCAGAACGTGGCAGACATACTGACGATGGGCACCTGACCATGCTGTTCTGTCCTCTAGAACGTCCCTCTGGCTCATGTCTCGCACTCAGCTTCTGCTTTACCACTCAGCAGGGGGCCTTGACTTTTCCAAGTTCAAATTATTCTGTCCCTGAGAGTTTGTGGTTTACAAGGTTAGAGCTCTTTACTAATGAAAGAGAATATGGGGTGTGATCAAAATATACGGTGAATGTTCAAAGTCCTAGACGTTCATTACAGTGAAAGGCACATTGCCATTGAACCTCCCTTACTTCAGACGTTTGTCCCATCTTCCTTGCCACTTTCTGAAGCAGTTCTGGAAGCCTTCTTTCCTGAGTGTTTCTACGAGGTGTGATACTGATGAATGCTGCTGTCAAACACGAAGGGTACCCTCAACCACCTGACGCACCGTGTCTGGCATCACGCACATTCTCTCTTCCCAAAGTCAAAATGATGACAAAAGGTGAACATTTGGAATTGATTCAGGACAGTGGGGCAGCCATGGCAGCACGAGCAGAACTGCTTCCAGAGGTGGCAAGAAGAGTGGGATAAGTGTGTTTGAAGCAAGGAGGAGTATTTTAAAGGGAGTTAATGGCAATGTGTCTTTAACTTATAAAGAAAAACGAACTGCGTTTTTCAGTCACATCACCTGGGTCAGTGGGTCCACAGGCTGAACCGCCCTTTCAGTCCTCCTCTTGTCAGTTCAGCTGATCCTTGTCTTGAGCCAGTTCCTTTCAAGCACTCTGATATCTGCCCAAGTGAGTGTGTCCAATGCAGAGGATCTTCTGAGGGCTAGGCTGCTATGCATTAGTCCAAGAGATGGGAGACTCAGAGGACAAGCAAGGTAGCTGCTGATGGGCGGTCTGCAGGCAGCCTGTTGTTAGGGCTGGGTGAAAGGTGGGCATGCAGGCATCCTAGGTGAGCCCTGGTCGTAGCGTGTATCCTCAAGTGGCAGTGGCACTGGGGCCTGGGGTGAGCTGGGCTGCTGGGTGGAATAGCCTTGGCTGTGTGGTACATGAGTAGTTGGCAGGTTTTGAGCCCAGTGGTAAGAGGAGTGATGAGTGCAAGCAGGAGGTCAGAGAGGCGCAGATACATGGTCAGGTGGTGGCCCCTGCAGGTAGGCCAGCACTGACCCATCCAGTTACATGTCCTGCCTCTGGGGCAGGGGATGCAGTGACTGGAGGGACAGGGCAGGGATGGAGCATGCCCAGATGTTTAGGAGCACAGGGGGCTTCTGATTAGGAGTGGGCCTTGGGGAGGAGCAGGGAGAATGGGATGCTGGGAGGACAGAGAGAGGGCCTCGTAGATGGAGAGGACTGCATGAGTTGGGCGCAGAGGTGCAGAGGCAGGAGAGGAGCTGCGAAAGGAGGTGGGCTGGACTAGAGTGCTTTGCCAAGGGGCTTGGAGTTTCTCCCAAAGGCGGCAGAGAACCCTGCAGGACTGGCAGAGCTGAGGAGTGACGTGCTAACATTTGGAATGCCCATTAGTGAAGTAGTGGTTTAAAAAGCCCAACCCCAAGTGTGGCTGTATTTATGGGTCACTGAGGCTTTGCAGCTTGCCAAGAGTGAGCTGTCACTGAGCAGGGCAGTTCCACAGGGAACAATTCCACAGAGAAATTTCAGGTTTGAAAACCAGAACTGGGGCATCCGCCGGCCTGCCCGCAGGCACCCGTGGCTCAGGGCATCCTGCCAGCCGAACATGTGCGCAGTGCTTCCTGGGTCAGGACACGCCTTCTGCGTACATAGCGGGATCCAGCTGTTCTGATTCTGGGGGTGAAGGGCCTTAGGCAGCAACAGTAGGTGCCTCACGTTCTAGAGCCCGTTGGGGACAGCCCAGTGGTGTCTGTCTGTGGATTCTCTCTCCCAGCATTCGACGTCCACCTAGCTAGGAGATTCACACAGAAACCTTTGTTTTCATGGGATCCGGGGTAAGAGAGAGTTTGAACAGCCCCTCACCCTGATTGTAGGGCACAGTTGCCATGCCCATGGGATGGCTGTGGTAACACTGGGGCTATCCTGTGTTGGGGAGTTGACGTTGGCTGGCTGGGAGGAAGGGTGACTTCAGGGCCTGGCATTTTCAGTGCCTCACCGGGCTGCCTGCTGGAGGGTGAACGCCGAGTAAAGAACTGGGATGTGGGCCCAGCCTCCTTGTGTGCCTTCGAGAGAAGGCCAGGCTGGCGCTGGCCCACCTGTGCATTTGCCCAGCCCCTTTGGAGCATGCTCAACTTCTGGTGCTCCTGTCCTCTTCTCTCTTGGTTGTGCTGGGGAAGGTGGTTGTGTGGACCTGGATGTGGAGACCCCGCCACACCACTATTTTTTAACAACAATTAGAAGGTTTTTTTGCTTACTGTGGTTATCCATGTAATCCGTTGGAAGAGCTCATCCTCCTTCTGTGTTTCTTCATGCTGAATATGCTGAGAGACCTTTTCTTTCTGCCACTAGCCAGAAGTGGACCTCCCCATCCCCTCAAGCAGAGGCAGGAGTCTGGAGTCGGTGCCAAGCCAGCCCCAGGAGCCCATCAGCATGCCCCAGACACTGACCAGTACGCTGGAGCACATCGTGGGCCAGCTGGACGTCCTCACTCAGGTAGGCCGTGATGTGAGTTCATCCAGTCTACACTTGGTCTGGTCTCACATTTGGATCACCTGAAATTGGCCAGTAGGTGCTAGACTTTAAAAAAAATATAATAGATCTATTTTCCAATTCAAATTAATGAAATAACAGTACCTGCCCTCAGATTCTGCTCCTGGAATCATGCAAGCCCTGGCAGGGCCACTAGATTCCAAAATCATCAGTACAGGGTCCTACCAGAGTGTACCCTCCCAGATGTGACCTCGACCAACACACAGCTTTGAAAGAAACGCGGCTTACCCCACTCATCGCTGGTGGGCACTCCAGGCACATGCCAGGAGCTGTAAGCAGTGAGTTGAGGCTTCCAAGAGCCTGGGTTTGAGCCTGGCACTATTCGCTATCCTTCAAGCATCCTTCGGAAAATCCCTTCAGTTTTGTAAACCTTGGTACATGATGTATCCATAAGGTGCAAGTGATTGTGGGCTGTGCCTTTCATGTCTGTGGTAAAGATTAAGGGAGATGAATTTCTGTGAATTGTTTGGACCAAGCCAAGCTCACGAGAGGCTGGTCAATGAATGTTTGCTGTGGCCATGACTGTGGCCCTTACCAGTAAGGCAGATGTGAGCCCCACTCTAGAACTTACGTTGGCAGCTTGTAACACAGACTCACAGTACAGCAGTCTCAGGAGGAGCAAAATGCCTGCACAAGAGGTGGTAGCCAGCTGGGGGAATGGCCAATGAGGCATCTCACCCGAGAGAGGCAGAGTGGCCCTGGCAGAGGAAGTGGCTGCCTGCAGATCTCAGGGGAGGAGTGGGCAGATCTGGGGACTGAGGAAAGCCCAGAGTGGCTGGCACATAGCATTTGGTGGGACAGGGCAGAGCAGGACTTAAGGGTCTGACAACTTCTTGGTTCCTTGGCTCTTGGTGCCAGGCAGGGACTCTACAGATTCCTACCTCCCATGCCAGCACATGGTAAGTGAGGCTGTGGCCCACTAGAAAAAGTGAAAGGTGTAAGGGAATTTGAGAAAACCAGTCTCTAACCCACAGCAGACCCTTCATGTCTCTAAACAGAGTGGATCTGACACGATATAGCGTCCTCTCCCTGCCTCAGTATCTATACTAAGTGACAAAAGCGCCACATCGTGTCACATCTCACGTGTCTGGAGTGTGTCCCAGCTAGGACTGACATCTTGGGTCCACCAGTGGAAGCACACAAAGGAGAGGCCAGGTGTCAGTGTCTGGAGGGTGCGGGGTACGCAGGCAGAGCACGCAGACATTTTGGAGTCTCGTAGGCCCTGAGAAGAAGGCCTGTGCCAAGAGAGATGTGAGCCATGAGCAAAGACTTGAAAACCCACTTCAGAGCTGCCAGAAGCTGCCTGATGTTCTTCGCAGCCTCGTCAAGTGAAGGGAAGTGGAATCCATTAGAACTTTATAGGATAAAATTGGAAATTAAGTCTGAGAAGGTGGTTAAAAATAGCTTCATTGGATCCAGAGGAACGTAACAGTAAAAACATTTCCTGTCACTGTTTGGGGGTGCACATGGGAGGCTTTGTTGTGTGTTAGCAGTTAGGAGCATGATTGGAACTTTGCAAGGAGCTTGCATCGCAGAGCATAAGTCAAGGCTTTACTGGGCCTGTGGCCAGGTGTGTAGATGTCCCTGTGGCACTCTTGTCCCACCTGACACACTCAGACCATTTGTACTTCCATAGGGCTATCGACCTGCCCCTCTACGAGGTGCCAGACCAATCACCTGCTTTGCAGAACGGGCGATGCCTACATGTTCCTGGATGCCACAGAGTGAGGGGTGTTCCTAGTGGACTCTACATGTCCTGAGGAAACTTGGATTCTATAGATGAGGCCTTAAGGTTCCACCTGTTTTTGTAGAGGGTACGTTTAGGATAATCTAGCTATGTTCTCTTGGAGCGCACCTGTCAGTTGTGTTACCAGCTGACCTTCCCATCTTGGCCTTGGGGCTCTATCTCTGGTGCTCTCGTCACAGCCAGAGCTCTCAGCACCAGATCATTTTGGATTCCCCCCGACACCCTTCCTCTCAGAGTTAGCTCAGCAGAGGGCAAGCCCTTAGACTGAGCAGCCCTCTCCTGAAACCTGGAGCCAGGCAGCCACCACCATACTTCCACCATACTTGTGGCTTGTTCTCCCAGCATGATCACTGGACACTGGCCTTGGGGCTGTGCCCTCAGCAGGTACTCATCATCTGCTCAGTCCTGAAGTGGCTCTGAGCTCTGGAGAGTCAGGAGTCTTATCCACCCTACCATTGACTCCTGCTTCAAAGACATCTGTCTGACCATACTCTTCTGCCCTGTCCTCCTCTACCTTATAGTCCTTTTCCTTCCCTAGGAAAAGGTCTACTTGCAAGTGGCCTCCTAGAGGGAAATGGTGCCTTCCAAGTCCTCCCTTGTTCTGCAGAACATCCTTCCAGGGGAGAGCCATCGGGGCTGCAGTGGTTAGTAGCCAGGCATGTTTACTGAATTACAGAGCTTCTAGCCCCTGGGTGACAGGAATAGGGCACCACACTGTGCATCCTTATAGTTCTCAAAGCCTGCCTTCTGCTATGGTGGGTTTTGGCTGCTGCTGACATGACAAGTGCTGCTCCTGCTGCTGCCCTTCTCACTACCAGGACTCAACCGGGGTTGGGCAGCTTCATGACAAGACCAGAAGCACCTCTCCGACTTCTCCAGTGCCTCATGAACCTAGACCCAGCCCTGTTGAGGAGAGCCATTCCATGCCCTCAGAGCAAAGATGGCAACTGCCCTTCCCTGAGATCCATTCCCACCCTTGGGAAGTCCCAGGACTGAATCTGCTGATGTCAGAGCCGGGACCCCAAGGAGCTACCTGCTAGGGCCACTGGAGACAGTGGGGAACTGTGTATCTGGGGGAGCTCAGTGTGCCTAGCCAAGGAGGCCACAGGTCCTCTGGTGTGGAGCAACAAATACAGCAGCCCAGGAGTTTGATTTCCATGTGGTGGGACACTGAGCAGCATGGAGTCAGAGCCTGACGCAGGCAGAGCCTCTGGGGTGGAGTAGACATAGGGGCATAAGGAGACCAGGACTTGGATAAGGGGCAGAGTGGTCATGGCCCTGTCCCTGGAAGACAGCCCCTGCAGCACCTTGGAGCAGGCGTCACTGAGGCAAAAGAAGGGGGTAATAAGGGAAGCAGGATCCCTGCTGCCCCTGTGAGGCTTCTCCCCTCCCAAGGAAGTGGGTAAGCAGGCGGCTTCCCAGCCTTCCCAGGCCAAACGGACTCTCAGATGAAGAGGAAACCAAACTGCCCTTTGGGCTTGTGCAGCGTCAGAAACCCAGTCCTTTAACTTGTGAAGTGGTATTGCACGGCCTTGTTCAGGAATGCCTGTTTTAAGAACTGCACATACTATTTTTCAAATGTGTGTTTACTTGGGGAAATAGACTGTGAGATGACCCAGCAAGGAATGTGCCCTTTGCCCTGTCTCCCACCTGTTGGCCCCTCCTGAGCAGGCAATCTTCAGGCTGTCCTGGCCTGTCAGTTCTCCCCGGATTGTTACTGTATAGAAAGGTCCTCAAGAATGTGGGGCTCGTACCTCATCATAGTTACCCTCTTGGTGCTTTTCTGAGGTCTGCAGTTTTCCAAGGGCTTCCCTTTGAAGCCCTCACTTTATCCTCTCGCCTGGTGCCAGATGTAGATAGGACATGAATAATGGCTTCTTGTGCGAGGCATGGTGGTGCACACCTATAATCCCAGCTACTGGGGAAGCTGAGACAGCAGTATATCACGAGTTCAAGGCCAGCCTGGACAACTTAGAGACTTAATGAGACCCCCCTTCAAAATAAAAAATTAAAAAATGGCTGAGGATGTAGCTCAGTGCAAAGGCTCTGGGTTCAACCCCTAGTAATGTAGGAGGTAGAAAAGAATAATGACTTGTCCCTAGACCAGCCCTGAGGTCCCCAGGCCTAGGTCTTCTCCAGAAACCCAGGTGATCCTAATCTCGACTACTGTGGGTCAGAGCAGCCCCACTCCCCTTGTTGAACACTTTTGGTGGAGTCAGGGCTGGCTTCATCGAGAAGTTTGGGCAGGCAGGGATGATAAGTATTGCGTAAGCAGTATCTCCCAGTTATTGCAGACAGAGCAGGCCTGCAATCTCCCAAATGAGTGGACTACAAGGCTTAAATAAATGAGACGAATGAAATTATTTCAGGGCTCTGGGAGGATCCTAACCCTCTCACAGAATTCAAGATTCTGGGATTTTAGACTAAGAACTTCCGTGGGCTGCCCGTATTTATTAGGTTTTTAAACAAAGGAGAGGAATACTGAAGAAAATGTAAGAATCTGGGCAGGACTTGGGAATCCCTTTATGGACTTCTCCAAGTAATACATTATGTTAATTTAGGAGAACTGTGTTATCTCCAGGAAGGCCTTCACTGCAGGAGTGAGATGCCTGCAGCTGCAGTCTCCTTTCAGTTAATTGGGGTTAGAGCCAAAAGTCCTCAGCTGTTGCCTTATCTTTTGAGGCATCCCAACTTCACAGGCCAACACAGGCTTCAGCGGGGACTAGTGACTCATCAAAATTCACTTACTATGAGTCCACTGCCCATCTCCGGACAAGGGCCTAGGCCTTGGACAAACTCACATGTAAACATGAAAGACCAGTTGGTTAAGAGTAAGTCCTGCTCAGAGCCACTTCATAGTGGTCTCCATCAGGCAAAGGAGGTAATGAGAGAGTGGAGATCACCAAAGTATGTTACATACATGTATAAATCTGCCAAAGCAGAACCCATTAACCTGTATAACTAATATGAGAAAGTTTTCTACAAGCCAAACTTGACTTTGAAAGACCAAGATGTTCTTGCTCAGGGCTCTGCAATCACAGAGCCCAGCAAGCTGACCTCCAGGTCTCCAGTGAGAGTTCACACACCCTTGCCTGGCCTGCCCTTTAGAAGAGGTCTGTCTTACCCTTGTGAGGTTGCCATTTGGGGTTCCACGGCTTCCTCTGCTGGAAGAGGAAGAGCTCATTGAGGCCCTGAT